TGGCTTTTGGTTATCTGACTTTGATTTCTCCCATTTTTTCTACTGACATTCCGTTCGTATTCTAGTAAGTCAGGACCGGCCGAAGTTCTCTGGGAACAACTTGGCGAGGATCGAAAAGGCTTTCTCTTTTCCGTCAGAGGTTCGTCATATTGATACGCTCTTGACCCAGAAAAACCTTCACGAAGCTGGTCTGATCCCCGATCTCCCAGACCCCGCTGATTTAGACGCCGTCCGTCAGTACTTCCATCTAAACGACGAAGGTATTATTTACTTTCGACGACCTTCTTCACTGTGACTTGGCTTCTTCCAATGCTGCCTGTATTTTGACCTCGTCGTTCTCCTGCAGAAATGGCGTCCTTGAGGATCCAACTTCCTGGCAGCCAGCAATCTGGGCCGAGCCAGTAACCGCCGTCAGAACAACAGCCCCCACCGAGCCATGCGCCCCAGTCGAAAGGAAAAGAGAAAGCTTCCTCTTCTTCCCGTGTCCCAAAGAGCAGAAAGACTAAGAAGGGCCCTTCGGGGTCGGAGGAGGAACTTGTGAGGAAAAAAAGACGCAGGGACAAAGCACCGGTGGTAGAAACGTGGACGCCGACGGTTCCCATCCCCGATGTCAAAATTCCCTCGGCGCCGAGAGAGCGCGTGCTTATTCCAGGGGCCAAAATCATGGACCCCAAGTTCCAAGTCTCGGACATATCTGACGCCGAGATTTGGGTGATGCTGAAACTTCCCCCTCGTTTCTCCGTTGTCTTTCAGGCTCTCAATGAGTCCTTCCTTGAGCCTCATTGGGTCGTTGGTGCCCAATCCTCTTTGGTCGACCGTCAGCGAAAGCAGATTTCCTTCCAAATTCACGTAGCCCCCCCCCCCCCCCCCCCCCTTTTTTTTTTTACTTCGACTTTTTCAGAGCCTGGTTCTTTCCATTCTCAACCTCCTCGACCTTGTCAAGGTTGAGGAGCGAAAAAATGAGATGGATGAGTTGGAGGCCAAACTTCAGTCCCTTGTTTCCGACGCAAAGCAAAAGCTAGATGATGCCAACGAGAAAAGGGACGTGGCCTTGGCCAAGCTGGCGAGTCTGGAAGAAAAGCTTGTAAAGTTAAAAAATGAGATCACGAGTCTCAAGGAACGGGCGGACTTATCTGACCAAAAATTGTCCGAGGCAGCTAGGGAGGCGGAGAGGCGTTTTCTTGAGGGGAAGAGGGAAGCTGAGGTGGAAGCTGCATTTGCTTTCGACGCCAGGCGTGTCGAGGTTATCAAGGAATTTAAGGCCTCCCAAGAGCTTATTGATATCCGCACCAGAGACTTCCAATCTGCGGGTCAACAAATTGTCGACCTGATCAAGAAGGAGCGTCCTGAGTGGGATTTGAGCTTTCTTTATAACTCCCCCCCTCCTGCGGGTGACGACAATGCTTCTCCGCCTGGCGACGGCGAAGACTCGGGAGCTGCTGGTGAGGCCTGAAGGATTTTTACCTGCCTCTGTTTGTTTTGTAAATAAAGAATCTTGTTGATCCGGACATCTTTTACTTTATCTGCTTCTTATATATATATATATATTCAAATGACCATAGTTTTAATTTATACCTTGATTCGTACTTGCTGCTTTCTTTATTAAGTTTTTGCCTTTCTTTTTTGGGAGATCTGGCGTCGAACATGCCCCTTAGGGTCGTTGTCTTAGGAAATTCCTTAGAATTTCGCTAAGTCCTTTTTCTTTCCTCCTTGGAGGATCTGACGTCGATTGTGCCCTTTGGGGTCGTCATCTTAGGAAATTCCTTGGAATTTCGCTAAGTTCTTTGTCTTTCCTCCTTGGAGGATCTGACATCGATTGTGCCCCTTGGGGTCGTCGTTTTAGGAAATTCCTTGGAATTTTGCTAAGTTCTTTGTCTTTCCTCCTTGGAGGATCTAACATCGATTGTGCCCCTTGTGGTCGTCGTCTTAGGAAATTCCTTGAAATTTCGCTAAGTTCTTTGTCTTTCCTCCTTGGAGGATCTGACGTCGATTGTGCCCCTTGGGGTCGTCGTCTTAGGAAATTCCTTGGAATTTCGCTAAGTTCTTTGTCTTTTTGTTTTTTTGTTTAACCCGCGGATCCCTGTCCCCCCATGTCTGTTTAATATAACCTCAGTTTTTAAGCAGACATGTTATTAAGGGGTGAATTCTTTTCCTTCTGCAAACATATCAATTCATTCACTTTATAAAGAATGTACAATTGGGATATGCGAGAACTTCATACATTATTGCTAGTACAGCTTCAGTTGTTCTACATTCCACGGGTGTTGGATCTTCTTGCCGTCGAGGCTTTCCAAAACATAGGTTCCGGGACGCAGCACTTTCCTTATGCGGTAGGGCCCTTCCCAAGTTGGGCCCAGTGGACCGGTATTCTTGGGTTTTATGCTTTGCGTTACCCTTTTTAGTACTAGGTCCCCTGGGATGAACCTCCTCTGTCGAACTTTCTTGTTATAATATCACGCTGTTCTTTGCTGATAAGCGGCGAGGCGTAGTTGGGAGTCGAGCCTTTTTTCCTCCAACAAGTCGAGCTCTCCGTTCATACCTTCCGTGTTGTCATCATCGTTATGGACGATGGTTCTTAGAGTCGACGTTTCGATTTCTATGGGGAGTACTGCTCCGACGCCATATGCCATGGAGAAGGGTGTCTCACCCGTAGTAGTTCGACTCGTCGTTCTGTATGCCCATAAGACCTTGGGAAGTTCCTCGGCCCATTTCCCTTTCAGATCGTCGAGTTTTTTCTTGAGGGTATACTTTAATATCTTATTGACCGCCTCGACTTGTCCATTGGATTGTGGATGGATCGGTGCCGAAAAATCTTTCCGGATGCCCAGGTTATTACAGAACCTGCGCGTTGAGGCGTTGTCGAACTGCCTTCCGTTGTCGGATACGATTGAGTGGGGAACCCCGAACCTGCATACGACGTGATCCCACATAAATTTGGTGCAGGCTGCTTCCGTGGTTGTAGTTAGGGCCTTTGCCTCTGCCTATTTTGTGTAGTAGTCTACCGTAACGATTGCAAACTTAAATCCTCCGGGTGCAAGATGTAATGGCCCGATCAAGTCAACCCCCCATTTGGCGAAGGGCCAAAGACTGAGAATGGACGTTAAATGTTCCGGGGGCGCTCTAGGAATCGTGGCATATCTTTGACACTTATCGCAACGTCGGGCGTACTGAAAAGTGTCCTTTTTAGCGTGGGCCAGTAGTACCCTTGTCGCAATACTTTTAGAGCCAAAGACTGCCCCCAGAGTGGTTACCGCAGATCCCTTCATGGATTTCGTGGAGGACCTTTTGTGTCTCGGTTTCATCCAAGCACCGTTGTAAAGGGGTTGAGCAGCCTCATCGGTAGACCAAGCCGTCATACAATAAGTATCTAGCGGCTCTATACCTGACCCGTCTGGCTTCATCCTTTCCGTTTGGCAGCTGCGCGTCCATTAGGTATCGGATAAGGGGGGTCATCCAACTTTCATTTACTCGGACAATTAACGTCTCCACCTTTTCTTCTATAGTTGGTCGCTCCAATTCCTCGATGGGGACGACCTCTAATGTGTCAGATTCTCTAGAACATGCTATCTTTGCCAGAGCGTCGGCGCTTGCATTCTCGGTTCATGGTATCTGGAGTATCTCGTAACTTTTAAACTTAACGAGTTCTTCCTTTACCTTTCTTAAGTACGCTCCCATCCTCTCGCCGCGCGCTTGGTACTCTTCCTTCACATGTGTGACAACCAATTGAGAATCGCTGAAGACGCTGAGTCTTTCAACCTTCAGGTGGCTGGCTAGCCGCAGTCCGGCAATTAGTGCTTCGTATTCCGCTTCGTTGTTTGATGCCTTGAATTTAAATCGGACCACCGAGGTAATTTTGTGGCCTTCGGGGCTGATTAACAGGATGCCGGCTCCTGACCCATTTTCACTCGACGCCCCATCCATGTAGAGTTTCCAGTCTATAATGTCGACTTCTCTAGGTACGGCGGGAGTTGGCCTATGGGAGAACTCAGCTAAGAAATCGGCGAGCGCTTGGCCCTTGATCGCAGTCCTCGGCACGTACTTTATGTCGAACTGGCTTAATTCTACTGACCATTTGTGGAGTCGACCGGAAGTTTCGGGCTTTTGCAGAGCCTGCCTCAACGGGTGGTTTGTGAGAACCCGTATTGTGTGAGACTGGAAATAGTGCCGAAGCTTCCTTGAAGCTACCATCAGGGCGAGGGCAAGACGTTCCATCTCGTTGTATCTTGACTTCGCGTAGAGAAGCCTTTTGCTCACGTAGTAGATTGGCAGCTGCACCCTCTCTTCTTCTCTCACTAACACGGAACTTATGGCGTGTTGGGATACTAGAGGTATAGGCTGAGCTCTTCGTCGACGTTTGGTTTTGATAGTATTGGGGGCTTGCCCAAATGTTCCTTCAACTTCTGGAAGGCCTCTTCACATTGGGGTGTCCATTCAAAGTGCTTGTTTCCCTTTAAAGCGTCGAAGAAAGGGATGCATTTGTCAGTTGCTTTTGATATGAACCTATTTAAGGCGGCGACACATCCTGTCAATCTCTGCACCTCTTTCGGCTTCGTTGGGGACCTCATATCTTGTAGGGCCTTGATCTTCTCGGGATTAGCTTCAATCCCTCGGTTGCTGACCATAAAATCGAGGAATTTCCCCGACCCAACTCCAAAGGCGCACTTTTGGGGATTGAGTTTCATGCGGTATTTTCTTAGTACACCAAACATTTCCCCCAGATGGTCGATGTGACGGCTAGCCTTAATGCTTTTTACTAGCATATCGTCAACATAAACCTCCATTGTCTTGCCGAGTTGTTGGGCAAACATTTTATTTACAAGCCTCTGGTAGGTAGCCCCTGTATTTTTCAGGCCGAAAGGCATCATTTTATAATAGTAGAGGCCCCTGTCGGTTATGAAGGATGTGTGCTCCTCGTCGGCTGGATGCATAGGGATTTGGTTGTATCCGGAGTAAGCGTCCATAAAGCTCAGCATTTCATGCCCCGCCGTGGCGTCGACCATCTAGTCTATGCGAGGGAGTGGAAAGCCATCCTTTGGGCAGGCTTTATTGAGATCACTGAAGTCGATGCATGTTCTCCAATCTCCGTTGGGCTTGGTCACTAGAACGGGGTTTGATACCCAACGAGGATAATGGGACTCCCTGATGAACCCATTAGTAATCAGTTTGTCGACCTCTTCTCTCAGCGCCTCATACCTCTCGGGATTCATCGGCCGACGCTTTTGTCTTTTGGGTGGATATGAGGGGTCGGCGTTCAGGGAGTGACATATTATTTCGGAGTCGATTCCTTCCATGTCGGAATGATTCCAGGCGAAGACATCTAGGTTCCTCCTGAGGAAGTCTTCGATCTCATCTTTAAGTGATGGGGCTAAGCCCAAGCCTACTTTTAGCACTTTAGTGGACTCGCCTTCGCCAACTCGGACTTTCACCAACTGCTCCACAGGTTGAGACCACGTGACTTCCTCCTGGATCCGGGGATCTATGTCCTCGACGAGGCCTTGGTGAACCATCCTTGTCTCCTGTCTCCCCGGTTGGTCATATCCGCGCAGGGCGTCAGAGTACGCAACCCTGGCTTCATACTGGTTGCTTTTCATTTCCCCCACGCCATTCGGGGTGGGGAACTTGATCTTTTGGTGGTAAATGGAGGTTATTGCTCGTAATGCTTGGAGGGTTGGCCTCCCGATTACCGCGTTGTACTGGGAGCTTCCTTTTATGACCAGGAAATTGGCCATTGTGGTTGCCTGTCGAGGCGTTTCACCGGCGGTTATGGGTAGGCGGATGGTCCCTTGAGGGATGACGAAGTCGCCTGTGAAGCCGTATAGCGGCCTGGAGGTTTTCTCCAATTGTTCCTTCCGGATCCCCATTTTTTCCAAGCAATCAGAGTATAGGAGGTCCACCGAGCTCACATTGTCCACCAGGATTCTGCACACGGTGTGGTTTCCTATCATGGCTTCCACCACCAAGGCATCGTTGTGGGGAAAATGAACCCCACAAGCGTCATCCTCGTTGAAAGCCACATCAGTGTGGCTGTACCTTGGAATTTTGGCGGCGGAGACGCTCTAGAATCGCTCCTGATAAACCCCCTGGCCTCGTGGGCGTAATCCTTTTGAGCCCTCCTCGAGTCTCCTCCTATGTAGGGACCGCCGAGGACAGTCCTTATGACGCCGACGGGTTCACAGTCCTCTGGGCGCTGGTTCTCCTCTCGGCGTCGACCATCATTCTGCCCACCATGGCCGTCATTTCGGGGCCTTCGTTCGGCCCTGAATTCCTGCAACCTTCCCTCACGGATCAATCTTTCAATCTCGTCTTTGAGGTCGGCACAATCATTGGTGTGGTGGCCGACATCGCCATGGAACCTACAGAATTTCTTCTGGTTCCTTCGGCTGGGGTCTGACTTCATTGCTTCCGGTCGGCGTAGCAAGTTCCCGCGACCGACTTGGTTGAAAACCTTCTCGACTCCCACCGTTAACTCATGGTAGGAATCGTACTTTTGGAACAGCCGAGGTCTTCGGGTGTCCTCCTGCCTCGGCTTTTTGGCTTCCAGAGCGCTCGTCGTTGCGGCGGGCTGCTTGTCTCCATTTTCTCCGCCTCGACGCTTCTTCCCGCTTCGTAGGCGCTGACCCCTGTTCGGTTCCTTTGTTCTTGTTGGTTCGGTGCTCAGGGTCGTTCGCGTCTGCCTCTTCGGCGTTGATGTACCCCTGCGCTCGCTCCAGAAATTCTCTGTAGTTGGTTGGAGGTTTTCGGTTTAGCTCTCTTTTGAACGGGGTTATTTTCTTCATGCTAGATAAGGCCCTCATCAAAGCTTCTCTGTCTGTTATGTCCATTGTGGCGGCGACAGCCTCCCCATTCCTTGCGAGCCATTCCCTCAATAACTCGTCTGGCTTTTGATATATCGTCGTCAGATTCTGCTTTGGGGGGATGTACTTTTTTACCCCTATGAATTGGAGGGAAAATGCTTCCTTCAACTCATCCCAGCTCGAGATAGAGCTTGGCCTCAGCGTTCGGAACCATCTCCGCGCAGAATCCGTCATATGGTTTCGAAAGGCTCGGCACATGATCTCCTCGGCGTAACCGTGTAAGAGCATGTGCCCGGTGTACATCTCCAGATGGTCGTCGGGATCTCCTCGCCCATCATATGGCGGGATTGACGGTGACCTATATTTATCAGGGAGAGGGGGTGCCATTACTTCTTCGGTAAATGGATGGTCATGGGTGCGACTGGGGGTGATATCGACGTTTACCACCTCAGCCACACGACCTATATTTTTTTTAAGCCCGCCACGTCCCCTGTCAGTTTTTGCTCCAGGCTGGCCATACGTTCCATGATGGCGCGCGCTTCCTCTGTCAAAAATGGCCGAGCCGGCTACTCTTGACGCTTCCGCCCTCTGAACGTTGGGTCCGCCTCGGGCCTTGCCGCCTGCCTGCACTGAGCCTGAGTCTCCTGGCGGGTTTCCACCTGGATTCTGAGGTAGTACCTCGGGGGTTTCAGGACCTCTCAGTACCCGGTCCTCGGGAGCTCGGAGCCCGGCGGCCCCCAAACGGTTGCCGGGGGATTGGGAAGGCCGAGGCCTAGGAGGGCCCCAGCGATTCTCACTATCTCCGGTTCCCTCTTGGACATGTGGGTAGTCACTGCGGTTTGGATCTCCGGCCATGGCGGGTCCCTGCGGCATCAGAGCATCTTCTAATGGTGGCATGGAGTTCCTTCCATCTAAGCGTTCTACGACGGTCATCAGCCCACGTACCAGCTCGGTTAGAGTGGTCAGTTGGGCCTGCATCTGCATCGGATCCGGCTGTGGCGCGTCTGGAGGTGGAACTTCATGTCCAACCGGGCGTAGATCTCCTTCCATCCCGATATTCCCTAGCCGGGCGGCAGCTTGTTGCTATGTTGTTAGGGGTCGAACGCTTTTGGTCCCCAGTAGAGTCGCCAATTGTTGACGGTCAAATTTCGCCAACAAAAAACCGGCCGGGTTACCTCTTGGTTTCCCTTTGGATTACCGGCCGCGTATGTATATTTTAATGCGTCAGGAATTGGTGAACTATTTGTGTGCGAGTATCTATTAAAAACCCCCTAGATATTAATGACATAAGGGAATTTATAGTGGTTCACTCTATAAATTCTAGAGCTACATCCACTGTAATCTTGTATTTCTTTGTCTTTGGGTAAGATACAATTTACAATGTTTTTTCTTAGCTAGTATTTTTTCTGAACCCCTTCCTCGTTGGGGGTCTTTCACCTTTTATACTGGGGCTTCCATTGCTCGGGAGGTTTCTCTCACAGCTAGAAGCACTCAAGTGCTCTCCTTTGGTAGGCCCAGACGTAGCCCACTAATTTGCACTGTTCATCCAACTGTTTAGTATTCTATTACGGCTCTGTGCTTCTCCGTAATACTTTTCTGTCCCCTGTGGGGGCAGTTTGACAGCTCGTAATTAATGCTCGCAGACCACCTCCACTTGTGCACGTAAGCCGTAATGTCCCCTAAAGGACGTTTCCCTCGTCGCCAGTACTTCTTAGCCCAACCGCCTTCTTCGATGGCAATTTCTTACGGTCGAGAGATCTTCATCCTATTGCGTCGACGGCACGATTGGTCGGTGCCACAATGGGTCGTCGTCTTAACTTGGACTTCGTCCCGGGGCCTTCACAGGGGACTAAGAGGAGCTTGCAAGCGTCGAGGGTTTTCAAACGTTGAGAGTTCCTTACTTGGTGGGGGTTAACCAAGGCCACGTGTCTGCCATATTTTTCCATACAACAAGAATCATAATAGCATTATAATGATTTACATATATAAAGAATAACAGAGATAATTAAATTACAAGTGTTGTGTTCAATCCTAAAACTATTGCAAAACAGAAATAATCCAAAATTTGACCATGAAATTACAACAAAACTAAAACCTGTTGTTCTGAGCAACGAGAAACAATCATCGGAGGAGCAAGGAAAAAGTGCAGAATTGACGTTGTGAGTTGCTCACAAACAACCGGAGAAGAGCAACAACCAGAGGGTTCACTGGAGTGTTCGTTCTCCGTTGACTGCAGGCGCCGATGATCGACCGACAAGAGAGAGAGAGGAGATCGGTGTGCAGTTAGAGAGAGGATTCACCGGAATTCTCATTCTCCGTCAACAGCGATAGCCGGTGATCGATCGATGATAGAAAGGGAGAGGAGATTGGCGTGCAGTTAGAGAGAGGATTCACCAGAGTTCTCATTCTCCGTCAACAGCGAGAGCCGGTGATCGACTGATGAGAGAAAGGGAGAGGAGATCGGCGTGCAATTAAAGAGAGAGAGATCGGCGTACAGTTAACAGAGAGAGAGAGAGATTGGCGCGTACAGTTAAGAGAGAAAGATGGAGAATAGATTGAGAGAAGGAAATCGAAAAAAGGAAAGGAAAAAGATAGAAGAAAAGGGTAAATATAGAATAATATATGACTTGTGCTTTTGATCTGATATTCTTGTTAGAACTATAGTAATTTCAACTCATTTTAAATTATATGTAAATATTATAAATAAATTAAGATTTTTAAAATATGTATAAATTGTTATTACGATAGTTTTGAATTATATCCGAGACTTTCAGCGACGGGAGGCTAGTTAAAAATAATTTTTTAAAATGTTTTATTAGTAAAATAATTTTTTAAAAATTTTTATTCATAAAATAATTTTATTTTATAAAAAATGAGTAAATATTTTTTTTTATAAAAAATAAAAAAATATCATTTTATTAATTTCACTTTGTTAGAAAGTCATTTTAGCATATTATCCGACAGAAAAAGAAAGATAATTCTTTTTTTTATTGTTTGTCGCTGCCGACGCCGCCTGTAAGTCGGACCCGGCCAACTTTGCGCCTCCGTATCCGCCGCGATTTGTCCGTCACCAACACCGGGCATCAACTCAGGCATCATCACCCGTCAAAACCCAGTAGTCCCCCCGCTAGATCCCGTCAAAAAACGCCGTCACAAGCCACCCAAACCCGCTACCTCTCTCTCGCACGCGCGACAACAGCCATCCCTCATGGTGGGACGAAACCACCTCCTCTCACCGACGGCAAAGCAATTTTCTTCTGCGCCGCAATCTTCTTCTCCTCTGCCGCGCAATCTCCTCTCCTCCAAGGGATGTATATTCAACAGAGGACAAAATCCGCTATTGATACCGTAAAAGAAGGTTACGGTATTGTAGTCTTTTCCGACTATTATTTGTAAAATGTTCTATTTACTTCAAATATATAGATGAAAATGCGTTATATGGATATTTTCTCTAATAATAATAATAATAATAATAAGAGTAATAACAACAACAATAATAATAATAATAATAATAATAATAATAATAATAATTGGAATGTTGCTTCCTAAGATGTACACTTCTGCTTCTGCAAGTGAGAATCCTCTAAGCCAAATATATTGGCCAGTCTATATACGTTCAAAATAAAGCCCTATCAATATGATTTTCTTTTAATATACTCTTAATATAAAAATCACTTCATCCACATTGAGGCAGAAAGAGGATTCTTGAGTTGTTGTCCTTGTAATCGGTGGTCCTCTCCAACTCATACTTTTGTTTTTTACCCAAAAATGTTTCTTATCGTATTTAGTTTGACATGTATGAGTCGGTTGAATTGAAATCAGACTAAGCCCAATTACTTACTTTTTCTACTTTGGATTTATTTTGGAATTGTTATTTGAAGGAGAATGTTTAATTATTGGCCCACATCCAAACATGCTCTTCTAATTGACTTCCGACGTCGTAAGATGACTGCAAAAATTAGATTATTATATTTCACCTATTAATTATTACGACTACTGATGGAAAATTTACTGCCGGATACACATGAGGAAGTGTCTATAGTGGTTTCGGATCATATCTCCAATTCGATTCCGGTATAAGATTTACTACGAAACATGTCGCATGATATTTCAATGAACATGATCTTCATACTCTAAGTCTTAATCTTTTACGATCACGTTCATCATCATATCCATAATTACTCACGATGTGTGTTACACAGTAATACTCGAATAACCGCATATAATTCACAACTTAAAAACCTATATATAAAAGACTAAGAGAGACGGACAGAAATAAAACTGTTAGAGATTCAACGTATTTCTATTTTTCTAGTTTGTATCTTACTAATCTAAATAAAAGTGGCATGCACAAAATAGGAAACATATCTTTTATATTATTTGCCAAAAAATAAGTTACTCAATTATTCAATCCGTCAAGATATTAAAAGTGTTCCATAATATTTATTTCCAAAAAGATACTTTGCCTTTTTACATCTCATAAATTTTGTTCCAAATAAAATCCGAGTGCTGAGTTTTGACTGAGCACCATTAAGGGCACCTCAAAGTCCAACAAGCTCCACATGGGATAACACTATTATCAAAAAGTTGCTGGACAAATAGGATTTGTAGCTATTAGAATATAAAATTAATATAGTCTATCTCCTAACAGTTAAGTATTTAGAAAAAGTAATAAACTAACATGATTGCGTTATTTATCCGCTTTTAAAATTTTCATCACCTCTTTAATCTTTAATATGTTTCAAGTTCCTCTGTTGGGCTTTATAATTTAAAATTTGCTCACATGTTTATCCATTTTTAAACTGCACTTAAGGAAGTATTAGAATATAATATTATTATTTATCCTCCATCTCCCAATAGCTTAAGCATTATTGTATACTCTAATACTAAAGTTACAATGTGAAGTTACGAAAAGAAAAAAAGGTTAGTGCAAAAAAAAAAAAAAAAAAAAGAAAGAAAAGAAAAGGTTGATGGAGTTAGCAAATGGGTGTAGTGTGTGCAAAAAGTTGTTAAAAAGAGGTCAGTTTATAGTCATAGTCGACTTGGAAATCCATCGAAGTCATAACTACAAAACAAAGTTCTCATGGCAAATGTAAAGCTGCCATACCCGTTACACGTCACTATCAATATTGTGAAGCTTCCTTCTCTTTTCACATTGAAGCGCACATTTTGCATTGAATGATCCCCTAGGATTACATAAAATGGAACATAAAAAAGCAAAATTCCTTCCTTGGTCGCCAAGGAATTGACTCTTCACTATGTAAGTCAGTGCAGCATTGGAACCAAATCTCAAACTTCCACCAAAATGCTAACTGTTCCGAGCTACGGGTTTGAGCATCAGTGCAAAGAGATTCACGATTCTTGGGGACAGTTAAATCGGTTAGTCCTTGGTTTAGCTATGCGTACAAGACTTGAAAGGCAGCAAATTAGAGAGACATACAAGGCAATCTATGGGGAGGACTTGGTGAAGAGGCTACAAGATGTGGAAACCAGTGGAATTAGCAGAAATGAGGCTGCAGGGGTTTCCCCAAAACTATGTGCAGCCTTGCCTCTCTGGATGCTTGACATGCATGAATGCGACGCCGTTGTGGCTCGGGAAGCCCTGCAGCAAGATAATACCAACTACAAGGCTCTTGTGGAAATTTTCGTTGGTCGAAAATCGAGTCACATTCTTCTCATGAAACAGGAATATCAAGCAAGATTCAAAAGGCAGTTAGACCAAGATATCATCAATATTGAACCTCCCAATCCATACCAAAAAGTAAGCTCATTGAGAGTTCTTTCAATTGCCTTTTTATTTTTTTTATTTTTTAACTTGTGAGAAATGTATAATCACTAAGTGACGTTTTCAAACAGATTCTTGTGGCCTTAGTTGCTTCACATAAAGCGCATCATTTAGATGTTAGTAATCACATAGCCAAGTGTGATGCAAAAAGGCTATATGAAACAGGGGAGGGAAGTCCAGGGGCAATTGAACGAGGTGTGGTCTTAGAAATACTAAGTAAAAGGAGTGTTCCACAGTTGAAGTTGACATTTTCTAGCTATAAACGCATCTATGGCCATGACTATACCGCGGTTCGTAAAACTAAAACATTCTCATCCTCTTAATTAGATTTTATTACCAATAATAACATGAAATGAATTTTCAAGCTCTGATAATTTACTTTTCTATTTTGCAGTCACTTAAGAGGGGAGATTTTAGAGAATTCGAAAATGCTCTGGGAGTGGTTGCAAAATGCATTTACAAACCACCCAACTATTATGCAAAGGTAAGCACTCTATTTTGTAGTCATGATTAAAAAATCAACAAAGTTTTGTATAAAATTGTTGAAACAAATTAGAATATTGACGCGATGAAATTTTGAATGAGCAGACATTGTACGGAAGCATTAAGGGGATTACAGGTGATAAAGCGGCCATAGAACGAGTAATGGTAAGCAGGGCTGAGGTTGATATGGATGAAATTCAAAGAGTTTACAAAAAGAAATATGGAATCCAACTGAGAGATGCACTAAGCCTGTGTGAGAACATTCCATCCACGGATTATAGAGATTTTCTTGTTGCATTGGCCACCAAAATGAACGAATTGTGTTAATTTGTGGAGAACAGGCAGAGATTAGAGTATCTCTAGCTTTCTACATTTCTATACTGCAACGATATTTACTAGAGCCCCCCATATATAAAGCACTCGTATATGGCTTGTCTGAGAATGAAATGTTGAAATTGAAGACTTTTTTGTGTTTCAGATTATTGCATTATGATGCTTCTAAGTTTCAACAAACAAAACTTGGAATGTCACGCAAACATATAGGAATAAAAATGATTCCAATTGAGGAGGAAACCCTCAAGAAACCAATACAACGCATGTCCATTACATTTTTTCTTGCGTGCACAAGAGACCCAAGATAGCAATTCTTTATTCATCAACCTTTTACTGTATATAATTGATATATATATATATATATATATTATGATGGAAACCTAAAAGATATTTGAAAAACGAAGAACCACGCCCTGCATCCATTAATGGCAACTTACGACAAGGGCTCTAATATGGACGAGGAGTTTGAACCCTTTTGCCAGTGGCGAAGAGGGCAAGAACGTGACATTCTTGAGGTTCATCTCAAAGGTAAGGGTACGTATATATATATATATATATATATTAGTTTTGATTTATTGATTTTTCTTGAATATTGATCAACAATTTAAATTTAGATAAATTTTATTTTTGCCCCCAAATTTTAGTGACTATGTCATCATGTCCCCTGAACTTCAAAAATTGGTATGCAGGCCTCTAAAATTTTAAAACGTTAACAAAAACACCTCTTCTGTTACATTATGTCCATTTAATGTTAATGTGGCATTACTTTAAATAATAAAAACTAATTTAAAAATCTTAATTGTTAAAATTAAAGGAAAAACATATTTAACAAAAGGAAAGCAAAAACATTTCGTTTCTGATAAAAAAAAAACAAAGAATTTCTTTTGAAGATGATATTTCTTCTTGGAGAATGACCGCATTAAAAGCACGTTAGACTTGTATCCGCATTTGTTCAGGCTGATTTGGTTTAATGAAAGTTCCTTCTTTCCGTAAAAATAAAAAATAAAAAAAATAAAATAATGCCACGTCAGCATTAAATGGACAGAATGTAACAGAAAGAGTATTTTTACTAACGTTTTAAAGTTTAAGGGACGCGCATATCAATTTTTAAAATTTAAGGGGCATAATGACATAATTACTAAAGTTTAGGGGGTAAAAATAAAATTTATCCTTTAAATTTAAAGTCTCAACATTGATAGATGAGAGTAGAATAACTTTTTTGGTCTCGCAAGGCAAAAATAAATAAATAAATAAATGGGCAACTTTTAGAGGTGTTAAAGACTAGTAATCTATTTTCATTAGTGTCTTATACTTGAAGCACGGAATTAAAAAATAAATGATAATTTCCAAAATATATAGGGTAGTTCTAGTAGGCATGAAAAATACCTTACTCTGGATGAAGTTTCTTTTAATTACTCTTGACATTTTTATTTTTATTATTATTATTATTATTATTATGTTTCTTTCATGTGTATACTTTCGAAATAAAATCATCATCTTAATTGAATTAAATGCAGTATTTGTTTGAAGGACCGAAATATATATTTAGAATTAATATGTGTGCAAATATAGGATTCAAAAGAGAGCATTTGAGGGTCCAAATGAACAACGGTCACATCCTAACAATTAGTGGGGAGCAAAGTGTTGAAGATTACAAAATCAGGCGTTTCCGCAAAGAGATCAAAGTTTCCAAAGACTGCACTCCTGACCAAATCCGTGCAAAGTTTGCCAGCGGCATTCTCTACATAACTTTGCCGATGCGAAAAACGGCGTTTCGTTTAAGAGATGGCATGTTGAGGATGGAGATGACTAGAAAGATGGCTTTGAGTGTTGCGTTGGTTGTTGCTGTTGGCGGTTTTCTAATATGGAAGTCAACATCAATTCCAGTTCCTTTAGTATACTGAAGTAGTTATTTGTTAATATTACAATATGGGAGTGCAAAAGGCTTTTAATCAAGGCAAGGAAAATCAAATTACAACAACTACTTTAAATGATCAATTAATTTTCTGGCAACCCCAAATCCCTCCCTCTATCTACTCAATGCCACTAGTTATGTATTTTACTCTCTGGACTATACATAGACCTTCAAAAGCATTAATAAATTATTGAATCTCTTGTATAATTAGGAGAGGAATATTCACACGATTAAAAACAAAAAGAAAAAGGGAAATCATCATCCTTTGTTTCTTATAGTTTACAACTTGATTAACAACCGACTTTTCGGACCCTTTTTAGCATTCTTTAACCATAATTAACTCTTCTCAAAACTGTTATTTGGCTTTAAACATGCTCTAGTTACTAAAATTTTCTTGGAGCCTTACGAAGCTTCGACTCCTTAAACACTTGGTCTTACGAATCCTCGATTCCTTAAAACACTTTCTTGATCTTGAGAAGCCTCGACTCCGTAAATATTGGACAAAGCTTCTTCTCCTTAGGCACAACCTGAAGCCTTATCCACTTGAACATTCTTTAAAGCTTTTTGAAGGGTCGGCATCCTACCGTTATTGCTTAATGTTGATGACGTGGCACTAGGGCTTAGTTGTCCATATGCTCTTAACGGGCCTTCTTAATGGGCTTCCCAAGGATTGCCTCGCCTTAGAAGAGTTTGAAAAGAGATGCAAAAGAATTGGTGTTGAGGCCGTCGAGGACTTCCAACTTTGTAAGGAATTTGAGATCCACAGAATTTCTTCTATCGTTATATTCTTTACTTGTGACTGTATGCTCTTTTATTTTTATTTTTTGAATTTTTTTCAAATTGTTGAAAGCTTTGTCGTTTATTTTTCCCTCTGCTTTTGGTATTATTTCCTCTCTTTCATTGGAGGCTCTAGTGGCCTTTTAATACCCCTTGGAATTTTTGACTTTGAAAATTTCCAAGTTTAGTAATCCCACCTTCCTAGAGGGATCGACATTAAAAAGTAACCTCTAAGATTCTTTGAATGCTGACGCAAGGGTCACTTCTATAAGATTTCCAGAATGTTGAAACAAGGGTCACCTCTTTAAGTTCCTAGAGTGTCAAAGCAAGGGTCACCTTTAACTTTTTACCTCGTAAGGTTCTTTGAATCTTGAAGCAAGGGTCACCTTAAGGTTCTTTGAATCATGAAGCAGGGGTCACCTCTATAAGGTTCTAAGAATATTGAAGCAAGGGTTATGTGGGAAAAATAGAAAAAATGTGCAGCGAAATTTTAAAAATTTTCTAAAGGGATCGTACTAACTCATGTTGCCAAACTATTTAAATACCTTGAGAGGAGGACTCCAGAAACGTAGGAGGATGTGACTGAGAAAGCTTCAACCAGCTAGCCTTCTTTAATATTCTCCAATTCCGAGACGGTGGAGTGTGTGGGCACTCAGTTTCTCAACTGGTATTCACGCGGCTTGTCTCCTTCCAACCACCTAGAACTCTAAGAATTCGTTATTATTATTGAGAGTATAATAACAAATTCGCTCACCTGAGAGTTTGTGGTCAAAGAAAAATAGGAGTCCCAAGGATCCTATTTATAGTGAGTACACCGCGTGGAATTCTAATTTGAATAGGATTCTGAAAAAGATTTTTCTCTATCCTTCCACCTTATTTTTGGCAATTTTTCTCCTTGTTTTTTGCTTAGAAAAATCGTCCACTTTAGAATAGGATATCCAAAAATTTGTTTCAATAGTCTCCATTTATCTTATGATTTTATCTCCATGGATAGTGTTCCATAAATCCAGTTTAAATTCAAAATAAAATCATGACAACTTTATTTGAGTTAAATAATTATGTAATAGTTATCCAAAAGAAAATCAAATTAGGAGAAAATCTTTTCCACCTTGTTCTTGAGAATGTCGCCACCATATAAGCATCAATGACAAGATTTTATTTCAATTCAAATTCGAATAGGATAATCTTCACATTTAATTTAAAATATTTATTTAAATAAGATTATCTAGATAATTAATTTATCCATATCTTTTGAATTCAAATGGATCTCATATTTATCTCAAAATACAATCAATTTAAATTTCTAACCTTATCTTCTAAATAAATATTCATACAAACTAAATATTTATCCCATTAATTGAATTAAACAAAATTCCTGTTCTACCCCTAGTTAGAAAAAAATGCCTACACCTTTGTCGGGTGATTCGGTTTTTTTCTCTTCACTAAGACCAAGAATTAAAGCCATAAAGAATACCTCAATCAATTACCATCCGTTAAGAAATTATGCAGAGCTAATAAAGGGACCGATTGGACGGGTTTTTTTCTCTTCACTAAGACCAAGAATTAAAGCCATAAAGAATACCCCAATCAATTACCATCCGTTAAGAAATTATGCAGAGCTAATAAAGGGACCGATTGGACATATATAATACGGGCTCCAATAATCTATGTAACTATTATTCTATGCCAAATAATACAATTACATAATTATTAGTTTCAGAGTCATGCCACTATAAACTTGAAACTGTACTCCCAATTATATACCGCATTATGTAAGCCAGTAAATAGCCATTGTCCAATGACCTTGTCATATATGCAACATCCTCATATGATATCCATGACCAACCTAGGTCAAAGTCTGTTCAACCTCTTGATCACGCTATCCTAAAGATCCATTATACATCCGATAAGAAAATAATTATTCAACATATGAATAATAAATCATTTGCTGAGCAAATGATCCAAGACCTTGTCCATTTTCTCATTCTAGTATAATGTCGTTAAGAGGATAACCTTTACTCTTCATAAGAGCTCTGATTCCATATCTATAAGTAAACCCTCCATCGAATATAAGCCATGTACCCAACGAACCGGTCTATTAGCTTGCTACTTCGAGACACCTTAGCCTTTGGAACATCAAAGAACACAAGTTATACACATGAAGCCATTCACATATTCAGGATTAAGGTTATTGCATAATGAACGCCAAAAGTGAATTAATCCACTTAAGTGTACTATATAGATTAATTACACTTTAGTCTAAGTCCAATACTTCACCACAACTAGGCAACATATCTATGCCTCTACGTGGGAGTCTACTTGCTCCAGACAGTCAAGACAAACCGTCTCCCAATTGGCTTTAAACAACATAACAGCCTTAACATGAGTTGGATGCTTACTCTAACCTCATAGACTACGAACTATAGATTTAGACTACTTACTTTAGAGCTTTGTCTTCTCGCATAAAAAAGACCATTACATGTAACGTTCTAACAGTTTAACATCAAGTAGTCAGTGAGCCGTATTTGCTTATATTTACTTTAACATGTAAATTAGATTAGGACATATAGTGATGTAATGAATAACCTCTAATATATTATTAATCAGTTAAATAAATAATGAAATACATTAAAATATCTTCCCGGCTTAGGACGATAACTTCAAAGTTTTTGACCTTGAACAATCCTTGCTCCAGTGCTAGTTTAGAAAACCCGAGACTTCCTCGTCAATTCCTTGAATCCATGAAGACTTATGTGTGGACACAACTGAAATAAAATGGCTTAGCAAAAACACTCAAAGTTTCCGCAAACACCAACATATGCACAATGTGGAATTTTTGGAGAAAATTTTCCTCTCACAACTCTTGTGAAAGCCGGCCACTTTAGAGAAAATAGGAATCAAAATTGTGTCATCAATTTTCCTTTAATCTCCTATTTATGCAGTAGTAGTTAGACTCTTAGAAGGAGTCTTATCTTTATCTCCTAGAGTAGTAGCAATATAAAAGATTTTTAGCAAATAAAACATACAAATATGTTCCAATAAAAAAACTTAAAAAATTAGCATTGCAACGGTAATCTTCGGCATCTATCACTCCAAGCCACCAAGGGGTGATCATGAAACGAATAGCCAAAAACATGGACCACGTCCAATTAATCTATGTTGCCTTAAATCCTCTAAGGTTAAGACATATATTAATAACCGCTTATTTGGCCACTAATTTAATTAACAGAGCTTCTAAGGAAGGTTAATAATTAAATCAATCTTGCATGTATAACCATTATTTACGAAGTCCGATCTATGCGCTATGTAAGCCATCGAATGATGGTCCCAAATAGAACATGCTTAAACACGTTTTCCGCATAGGAGATCCAACCTAGTATACCGGCAACAGTAAACACCAACCAAGGGGTGTGGTCAGGGTGGAACTGACACGAGGCGTTACCATGCTTTCACAAATGGATCAACAATGGAGGCCGTGAGTTTTGTTTAAAAACTCTCTCCCACTCAATATTTTAAAAATGATAAGTTTTTTTTATGACACATGTATGATTAATATAGTATGAGTGGCACTCTTCTATCCTATATGACATGTTTTCAAATATGCATCAAAACATCCATCAAACATATTCATCAATCCATGACATAACATAGAATAAATAAATGACGAAAAATTAAATAACCAAGCCATGGTCCCATCCTAGAAAGAAGAAAACAAAATAAAGATTATAAAATTTCATCCAAAGCATTCTTTGGGTCTTGAATTTTGCTCCATCTTTGTGTATACATCTTCATGTATGTCCACCAATTATTTCTTACCCCAGAAAATTTCATAAAAATTTAAATTTTGAAAAAGAAAATGCTTGCTAGGCGTGTGGTGTTGGCGTACGGGCGTACGGGGCACGGGAGGGCGCGCAGGGCGCGGGGTGGCCATGTGAGGTGTTGGAAATGGTGTCCAAAAAGCATGAGATGTAATGAGATATTTATTATTAATTTAATAAAATGAGATTATTCATTATTTTATGTGCATATATTGTTGAATATTTTATGAATATCATTAAAAATTTCATTATTATTTATGTGACCTTAAATATTGTATATAAGTGTTATATGCGAGAGGATAATATTTAAGGATAATAATCAACACAATGTTCATAATGAATTTAATTAAAGTTTAAAATCTTTAATTAAAACATTACTAATACATGTCATTCCTATTTAGCATGAAACGGTATTATCCGCACTGTTAATATGACGAGATACTGAATGAGTGTATTATGCATAATGAGAATATGCAGAACAAAGACACATGCACAATATGAATTTATGATAATTTATGTTAAGTATAGAAATTCTAATTGAGTCTACAGATGGTCATATATAGAACAATCTTAATCATGAGTTCTTAGCAGACTTCTATACATGGATTTGTGTCTTTTAACATACTCGGTATGGATTTTAAAGATTGCTAAATCTCACACCTTGTATCTTAGAGACATGATGAAGTGGGTAGCTGGAAATGCTATTATACGAGATGAAATCCATTCCTTCTTGAGAAAGAAGTAGATAAATAATTCTCATGAGAGTTGATTCGGTACTTGGACCAGTATGAGCTCTGATTCCTGAATTTATTTTATGAATCAATAATACTCAAGGATTAAGATGTAATTAGAGAGGTTAGAGAGGTTAACCAACACGGGGCGCACGGGCAGGCACTCGGGGTGCGGGGCGAGAGCGCGGTTTGTTCATCTCCTCCACGAATGATTACATAGAATTCTTATACCGTTTTTTATGTACACAAATTCTAAATATTCAAGGAAATAAAATCCATGGAAAATTACGGTGACGATAAACCACTTCCATGGTTACATAAAGAAAATTCCTAGATACAATTTTTTTAAATTTTAAGGAACCATAAACGGCAAAATTGAGCATGCTTATAATAACAACAAAATTAAAATAACCACATACATCATGCATAATTCATGATAAAAGGAAACCTAGAATGCCACTTTCTAAATATTAAATCTATACAATAATGAGAAAATAGATCGTTTAATTTATATTCATGACATAATCACGAGTTGGCTCTAATACCACTTATAGGAAAAATAGAAAATGTGCGCAGCAGAATTTTAAAAATTTTATAAAGGGATCGTACTAACTCGTGTTGCCGTATATAATAAATTATTCAACTATCTAAATACCTTGAGAGGAGGACTCACGAAATGTAAGAGGATGTGTGGGCACTCAGTTTCTTTACTATTCTCCAATTCTCGGACGGTGGAGTGTGTGGGCACTCCGTTTCTCAACTGGTATTCACGCGGCTTGTCTACTTCCAACAACCTAGAACTCTAAGAATTCGTTATTATTAGTGAGAGTTATAATAACAAAGTCACTCACCTGAGAGTCTGTGGTCAAAGAAAAATAGGAGTCCCAAAGATCCTATTTATAGTGAGTACACTAGGTGGATTTCTAATTCGAACAGGATTCTGAAATAGATTTTTCTCTATATTTCCACCTTATTTTTGGTGATTTTTTCTCCTTGTTTTTTGCTTAGAAAAATCGTCCACTTTATGATAGGATATCCAAAAATTTGTTTCAAATTTTAGTCTCCATTTATCTTATGATTTTATCTCCATGGATAGTGTTCTATAAATTCAGTTTAAATTCAAAATAAAATTATGACAACTTTATTTGAATTAAACAATTATGTAATAGTTATCCAAAATAAAATCAAATTAGGAGAAAATCTTTTTTACCTTATTCTTGAGAATGGAGCCACCAGATAAGCATCAAGGATAAGATTTTATTTCAATTCAAAATCAAATAGGATAATCTCCACATTTAATTTAAAATATTTATTTAAATAAGATTATCTAGATAATTAATTTATCCATATCTTTTGAAATTCAAATTGATATGATATTTATCTCAAAAGATAAATACAATCAATTTAAATTTCTAATCTTATCTTCTAAATAAATATTCAAATAAATTAAATATTTATCCCATTAATTGAATTAAACAAAATTCATGTTCTACCCCTAGTTAGAAAAAAATGCCTACACCTTTGTGAGGTGGCCCGGTTTTTTTCTCTTCACTAAGACCAAGAATTAAAGCCATAAAGAATACCCTAATTGTTTGACCAAATCAGTCAAGGAGTCCAACTACTCTTGAATTCTGGTCAGATTAGGTGGAGGTGCATCTAAGGCCTGGACTTCTTCATTCCTTACCGTAGGTGGGTTTTTTTGGTTTGGATGACTCCATCTGTCCTCCAACTTGTTGTCCTTAATTTTCTGCGTTATCGACCTCAGCTCGTTCTAGTTTCCTTTATTTGGAACCGTACTTCTTGTTTTTCTCGGACCCATGGCAACCTTGCTTTTTCTCATAGAATTCTTCAATTAAACCAAATATTCTAGGTTCGGTCCCCAACGGAGTCGTCAACTGTTGACGGTGAAAGTTCGTCAACAAAGAATTAACGAATTTTGAGATAAATTAATGTGATTTGCAGCAGTATAAATACAGAAGAACGAAGTTAAATGCAGTAAAAATAAAACACATGAAGATTTATAGTGGTTCACCCCCGATTAGAGAGTTACATCCACTATGAGGATGAGAGAATTTCACTAATTTGAGAAGAGATTACACGTTTTCTCCTCAGTGTGAGACCTCAGGTAATTTTTAATCTATAATCCCCTATTTATAGCTTATGTCACCGCCCATAAACCTTCCTTGTTTAAATTTGAGATATTTTTCTCATCTTTTGATATGGTTTCTCAAAAGATAGAGATTACAATCAATTAGTGCGGTTTCCATATTTATTTTCATATTTAAAATACAAATCTAGTCTTCTTGAGCAAATTTCACAGATTCTATATCTTCCAATAGCCTCGACTTCGTAATAGTCTCAAAGCCTCATCTTTTTGAACACTTATTAAAGCCTCCACTCCTTAGACATGGTCTTACGAAGCCTCAACTTCATAAGGATTGAACGAAGCCTTTTATCTCTAGGCATAGCCTGAAATCTCATCCCCTTGAACATTCTTAAATCTTCTTGAAACTTCTTGCCGTTATTACTTAATGTTGATGACGTGGCACCATGGCTGAGTTATCCTTGTACTCTGTTGATAGTGAAAATTTGGTTTGCGTGAATTTTTGTATCAAAATAGAAGAGAAAGCAATAAAAGACAAGAACACAAAAAGTTTATAATAGTTCACTCTCAATGCAAGAGCTACATTCATTGTGAGGAGGAAGAAATTTCACTATAATTATCCATCGTAGGGTGAAGGAAAATAATAAGATAAACTTGGAGAAAATAAAAATCTTTAAACCCTAAACTCTCTCGGATGACCTTGAAATAAGACTAGAATAAGGTCATGTTTATTATTCGAATTTAAAATTTAAGTTCTTTGAAAAGAATCATATTTAACTTTTTTTTCTTAAATAATCTTAAAAGATAATAGAAATAGTATGTCTAAATTATATAAAAGAAAAAATAAAACCAAATTCGCGCACATTTGATGGTCGGCGTGCACCCTGTAGTCTCTGCTCACCCATACGACGTTCCGATCCATTTCCTCCCGTCAGGTCAAATCTCCGATTTCTCTTTCTTTTCAATCGAGGTTTGATTTGTATAAATTATCTAAGGGAAAGATCTGTGATTTTGGATTTTTCTTTTTCCTTTTTCCGATATTTTATTCCAGAAGTTTGGATCTTTTCCTCTCGCATTTGTTCCTTTCCCCGTTTGGTTGCTGAGAAAGTTTGGGAAATTGTTTAGGAAGGGAAAAATTTTGAACTTGGCCGCTGACGTTTTCACTTCAAAACTTGTCATTTAGATCATTTATTTTTTATTTTTTTTTATATTTTTTTTCATTCGTAGGATTGAAGCGAGATGATTTGGGGACTTGTGCGCCGTAGAGTTGCTTCGGTACGGCAAAATTGCTTCATGTTGTTTTGACCTAACGTGAATTATTGGCCAAATTTCTTGTATTGTGCTAGTTCTGAAGTTATATAATCATTTGCCTTTATGTATCAAGTAATGATTTTGGGTTAATTTTCTTGTAAAAAAAAAAAAGGTTATTATGGTTGCTTAAGTTTGATAATCTCTTTGCAATTCTTAAGCAACAGTCTCAGGTGCTGGGACAAGCCTGGAGGGCTAGGCCTACAGTGTCCGGGTCATGCTCTTACGACACTGCTCGTAAAGAGGTATTACGACTTGGGACTTTGTTGCTCTTCTGTTTTGTTGGTACTTGGTTGGAAGTTGCAATATGCCAATATGGGTTTTTGATTGGGTTTTTATATATGTGCCAGTGAAAGTGATAGAATTTATAAACAATGTAAAGTAAAAAAAATGACACATATTGCCCCTCTTCGTTGTGGTGTTGGGGAAAGTATAATAAAAATTTGTCGTTTGGGCTCTACTTTTGAACATCCGAATTGCTTTTAAATTTGCAGGCTTCATTGATTTGCAAAGAGATTGCTTGTGTCCAAAGCTCTAGCTACCACACATTTTTAGGTAATCAGGGGACATTACTAATGACGTTAATGATTTCCCAGGCGCTTTTCTTTGCACATTTTTCCCTCTTTTTTCCCCTAATTTCATTTTATTCTTTTATTGCAGGCGGCCATGTTTATCCAAAAGCAAGCAGGTCACAGAGCTTTCTCGCACTTTTCAACAAATTTGTACTAGCATATTGAATTTCCTCTTTTTATATCCTTATTCGTTTGAACGAAGGATTATCGATTTCTTTCTTCCATTTTTGTCTTCTCTCTTTTGTTGATTTTGCTTTTGGCGGTTGGGTGCAGGGAAGTTAATACAATATCTCAAACAGAATATTTTATCAGGATGAGCAACAGATCATTTTCTTCAGATAATGGTATTGCCCATTCTTGGGCTTTTGTGTTTTCGGCTGTACATGTGATTTGTATATGGGACTGCTCTTAAAAGTTAGTTTTTGAATTGTGCAGGAGATGTGGTTGAAGCTGTTGTCCCTTTCACGGGTGAATCGATAACTGATGGAACTTTAGCAACATTCTTAAAGAGTATGTCACTAGTGGATGCTTGTTATCCTCAGTGCACTAAAAGTTGTCTTTTGCTACTTTGTATTTTAAACTGTGTACATGTACATGTAGTACATGTATTGAGTGTCTTCTAATTCTTATGCCATATCACAAACAGAACCTGGTGACAGAGTTGAGGTTGATGAGCCCATTACTCAAATCGAAACTGATAAGGTAATCTGTCTGTTGGAACTCATATGTTGCAATTTCGTCGTTTGAAGCACTGAGTATGTTTATTTCAGAAGCTGAGTTGCCTGCCTTGTGTGTATCGTTAGGTGACAATTGATGTTGTTAGTCCTGAAGCTGGCGTGATAACAAAGGTAATATTAAAGAGACACTGCAATATCAATCCATTGGGATATTATTAATAATATTAATTCTTCCTCTCAGCCCTGGGCCCACCACCCACTGATTCTCAACCAGATCTCAAGTCTCCGAGGCGCGGGAAAGAACGACAGGGAAGGCTTCTCTACGGTGGCGCTTTCGCTCCACAGGCACCACCCCCAAACCCTAGCTTTCAACACCTTTGGATTGAGAGGATTCAGTACTACTACGGTTGGATCGGCGGTGCCGAGGGAGATTGAGGCGAAGGGGAAGCGATTCGGCACGGCGAAGAAGGTGATCTCTTTCACTCTCCTACCAAATTTGGCTTTGTTCTGGCACATAAATGAAGGGATGGAAGAGATTCTGGCTGATTATGTTCACCATGAGATCACCCGAAATTTGGTCGTGATCTATCTGAGATTGTTCCTTTTGATCCTAGCCAAAGATGTTTTCGTGTCTCTTGTTTGATCAAAGTGTTTTTCTGAAGAAATCAGTCATGAAAGAGGCGGTTGATGAAATATTGATCGAATAAAATAAACACCTCTGGCTTTATTAGTGACCAAATTAGTTGCGTTTCTTATGAGGTGATCTTTGCAGTTTCCTCTAATTAATTCTGTGTGGTTTCAGTATTCTTGTATGTAGCAGGCATCAACTCTGGCTTTGCTTCGTGTTTAGTTCCTTTTTGCGTGGTTGTTAATAATATGCTACATGACTTGTCTTTGGGATTAGTTTCTTTTGTCTTCGTTTTTTGCTGGTTATTGTAAATTCTGAATTGTGTGCAAGTTTCTTATTGGTAGGATAATTTTGAGCCAGTTGAAAACTTTAAATGAAAAGCCCAACCAAATGATGTGAATGTTGTTAAGGTAGATTGTGTATGTACAACCAGTGTTATTATATGTTGTAAAACTGTTTGTAAGCTCTAGGTATATATATATATAGAGGAATATCTACTTGTTATTTTGGCAGATCAACTTGTTAGTCTGAAGCATTTATACCGAGAAAGGCCACAAATTGGTGAAAGGCCAAGCACCACTGTCCAAGCTTTACTGGCAGTTTTACTTGGAATATCTACTTCAAATATTCTCACTTCTCATCTTCGGTGCCCTCTAATATAGTTTTAGCTTTAAATACATGTAAATATAGATTCCACTCTTCAATGAGTGCTGATTTGCTGTTCCGAATTTATGTCTCATTGGCTACCCCAATATTAGACAAATATCTCATATTATATGTGGTCAAATTCTTGAATTTAGATGTGTCGTCAAAATTATAATGAGGGGACACACTCATTAATGTTTGTTATTCCATATTCTTCAACTGGATTTCGTAGTATTTAATCATTCATCATCATAAGAAAGAGAAAATTAATATAAAAACAAAAACTCTGCTGATGGTCAAATGGAAAAACATAGAATAAAAAACGCAACAAACCCCAGACCAGATCGCTCATTATTAACGGAACATCTATAATAAGAAACCCCCACACAAAATAGTTATTTCATAGTACTGAATCAAATAAACACTAATTAAATGCCATGAAAAGAGCAAAGACTGCCGTGAACGCTTGGAATAATCCAGAGAAAATGATCCCATGAGCAGCACTAGGGGAAGGTTCAGGTGCGCTCATGTCCATGACAGAAATGCTAAGCTTCTGGCCCTGATTGCAGTGATTTGGTTTACCACAAAGGTACCATTTGTTTCCTGCCGTTTTAAGCGTTATAATGTCGTTTCCTGAAGTCGACACCTCTGATCCAGGCGGGTTAACGCAGTCCTTGAAGGCAGTACCGTTGACTTTAACGACATTGTGTTTAGCAGCGTCGTACTTGAATACTGTACGAAATTATACAATTACGTTGCAAATAAAACAAACAAAAGAAAAGAAAAACATCAGAGGTAAACTTAAAACCTTAAACCAAAAAAATATTAAAAACTTGAATAAACAAAAAGCCAACTAGATTAGGGAACTTATTAGAGAATGAAAGACAATGTTTTTACTTTAAAATTTTGATTTAACTATGTTCCCTTAAAAAAGTTATAGCTCCGCCACTGTCGTACGTGAAGATGAACTTCAGAATGATATATATGTAGAGATATATATATATATACATATATGAAAAACATAGAATAAAAAACGCAACAAACCCCAGACCAGATCGCTCATTATTAACGGAACATCTATAATAAGAAACCCCCACACAAAATAGTTATTTCATAGTACTGAATCAAATAAACACTAATTAAATGCCATGAAAAGAGCAAAGACTGCCGTGAACGCTTGGAATAATCCAGAGAAAATGATCCCATGAGCAGCACTAGGGGAAGGTTCAGGTGCGCTCATGTCCATGACAGAAATGCTAAGCTTCTGGCCCTGATTGCAGTGATTTGGTTTACCACAAAGGTACCATTTGTTTCCTGCCGTTTTAAGCGTTATAATGTCGTTTCCTGAAGTCGACACCTCTGATCCAGGCGGGTTAACGCAGTCCTTGAAGGCAGTACCGTTGACTTTAACGACATTGTGTTTAGCAGCGTCGTACTTGAATACTGTACGAAATTATACAATTACGTTGCAAATAAAACAAACAAAAGAAAAGAAAAACATCAGAGGTAAACTTAAAACCTTAAACCAAAAAAATATTAAAAACTTGAATAAACAAAAAGCCAACTAGATTAGGGAACTTATTAGAGAATGAAAGACAATGTTTTTACTTTAAAATTTTGATTTAACTATGTTCCCTTAAAAAAGTTATAGCTCCGCCACTGTCGTACGTGAAGATGAACTTCAGAATGATATATATGTAGAGATATATATATATATATATATATATATATATATTAGTTGGAAATATATGTACCTAATAGGTCACCAACATTAAACATTTTGCCTTTTGCCCAAGCTTCGTAATCAACACTACCGTCGTTGGTCCACCCTTTTCCATCTCCAACGATGTATTCAGTTGCCATGGCAATCGTAGGAAGGACAATCACTGCAAATATGGCAACCATCACAAATCGATTTGAAGCCATTTTTGGAACTGAAATCCAGATTTCTATTTCTTAATTTAGCTCCAAATTAATATATATATATATATATATATATGTATGTATTTTTGTTCTCCACTTTGAATGCACTGTATTACTGGAACCTAATCGATCGAGCTATTTATATAGTCAATGTCATTGATGAAATTTAGAAAAAGCCTCAAATTAGGAACAGAAACCGTCCATAGTACAACACCTTTGGTTTAACCGGCCATTTGTTAATTTACAAATAAATAAATAACAGAGAGAAGATAATTTTGTTGAAAAACCGCGTGCTGGCAAAATGTAAATTCGTGCTGGCAAAATGTAAATTTTGGTTGGTGGTTAGCTGACTGCAAAAAAAGACGTGCGAGATATATATCTGGTTTGGAGGAATAATATTTTTATTTTTTTAAAAAATAAAAAAAATAACGTTAATTAATATGCTCTTGTCCAGGGCACAATTCGCAGGAATAATATTTTATTTTTTTATGAAAATTTCATTTGTTCTTTTCTTGCCTTGTTCCTATCAACAATCTTAAAATTGTTGAAAAAATAAAGAAGAAAAAGCTTTCCCTATGCTTTGGTTTGATCATTGTACGTATTCCTTATTTAAATATAGCAACCCTTGCCGACGCCCACATATAAGTTACTTTTATCGTCAATTTCTGAAAAACTTTGGTGCATTGCAGGCAAAACCAGCCGGAAATTAATCAAAATTCGTGCTCATGTATTTCAAATATTCTATCTATTAAATGGTTGTTTTTAATTTTTTCAATGTAAAAATTTCTTTAACTTTACAGCAAAATTTTCTCTTGGATATTATATACCTTTGTATTCCTTCCTTCCTTTTTTTTTTTTCCATTGGTATAACTTGTTATTACACACACATAATGGTTTTGTCAAATACTTCCTTCATGTAATTGGGATGCATGTATCTATCAATTAATTGAATTGGACTTTGATTTGTTGGTGGCTGCGAAATCGAATTGATGATCGCAAATGGGCAAATAGAAAGGAGTTATATAGTCTCGTTTATTTTATTAATTTGAGTTTTCTATTACAATTTTACTACAGTTAAAAGTTCTTATAAAAAGTCACATTTAACTTTTTCTGTTACCATTAAAAATTGTCACATAAAGTCACATTTTAACTCGAATCAACAAACTAGTTATAGAATGTAAACATTAATTAACAGACTTGAGTACGAGAAACCTACATACAAAGAATAGCACATTAGTTAGAAAATCCATGAAAAATAGTTTTTTTCGAAAGGAAATAAAAGAAAAAACGCAAGAAGAATATGAAAGAGGATCCAAAAATTTCCTAAACTCACCTTAAAGGTAAAATACCCCGAGTCTCATATAATCTAATTATAAATATAACTACACGCACATAAGAATATTGAGCTAGCCAATTAAAGGGGTAAAAATTTAAGATGAAAAACCCAAAATATCCGAGAGGTGATTGAAACCCAGACTTTTTGGGAGCAAAACAAAAATGTACCGTAATCAAGACAGTCTGAATCGTACTTAGAAAGTTTTTAAGCCTTGCAATATATATAGTACGTATTGAAATACCATTCTAGTGTCTAGTACAAACAACATAAATAAAAAATATATATATATTAAACACGTCGTACAATGTACTACAAGAGTACCAGTCTAACAATAACCATAATTTTAACTCCATTCTTAGCGCACTTTAACTGTAACCGTTAGATTGAAATTGGACGGTCCTGAATAAATAAATTTTTTAATAGTTTCATTGAGACGCACGGTAGGTAGTTAAGTGGACGTTTGGTTCATAAATTCAGAACCATTCAGGATTATTCTCGTTTTACGTATATTTTTTATGAGAAAAAAATACTATAAAAATTATGAATAATGATTTAAAATTAAAGACGAATACAGAAAATAAACATCCATTGAGTACGTATATCTAACAAGAGTACTAATAGTATCTTGCAAAAGATCTAGCTAAATAAATTAAAATAATGATTAAGCGATATTTAAATCGGGAATTTGAAACGCTTGTGGTTTTAAACCTTCAATGTTTAGGCTATATATGTCTGTGAGGTTGCACATGTTGGTTTGGGGGGTTCTTCTCTCGCAGATGCATGAGGTTCAAAAGCAATTGTTGGGCTGGATTAGAGGTTGATTGATGGAGAAGCAACATTAATCCTCCTTTTGATGCGAATTTGACTCTAGTAATGATTCCTGATGTAATATATGCGCTTTACATTTATGAGAAGTTAGAAAATCATTTTATGAGAAGTTGCAAAATAGCTAGCCCCACATTATTATTATTATTATTATTGTTTTTTTATTGTTGCTATTTATAATAAGGATACAATGTTATAAAACTTCTGAAACATTTAAATTACAAATTAGAAATATTTCTATGATTGTGACACCGAACCAATTCTAAAATAATAAGAATTGGTAACTAACAATGATGTTAACAATCTGAAGCTGGGTAACTCAACCCATACAAATTCATCTTCTTAACAATTAGAAATGGGGTTCACAAGTAATGACAAAACACGATCTTTTGTTTCGCGGTCTTGAATGCCATGTCCATCTCCATGTTGGTACATACATTGTGCCATCCTTGCAAGGTTTGTTGCAATTTCAGTGAATGTCTCTGAGAATGGAGAGTCTGCAATTCTATCTGCATTCATTTGCTTCCATGTTTCACTTATTAACCACTTTATATGTTGACGAGCCTCATCCTCAGAAACCCCAGCTTCATGCATGTAGCATTGAATTGATTTCGGAACATCACCTCTTTTTATTTCATCCTTAATTATGAGAAAAGGAAAATAATAGATTATCACATTAATGAAAACAATAGAATTTAGAATTCCATCTTCTGATTCAATTTTGAATTTTGAATTTGAAGTTAAAAAATAGATTTTAATTATGGCAGTATTTTGCTTACTGATGATGTTCCAAGATCATCTGCAAGACGTAAAAGGATTGATGACTGACGGATTATGCTCGGATATTCTTCCAAGCAGGCCAAACCCTCTTTGGTTATTGGGTTTGTAACAAAAAAATATGCATGGACCAAAATAACTGGCGCTGATATTGAAATCCATGCATTCTCAATGTACTCTTGTAAGGTTGGTGTGTATCCACTATAGTACCACTTTGCTTCTTGTAAATAAGATTTACAGATATCTGCCCACTGAAATACATAACATTGGATATATATATATATATATATATATATATATGGAATTAGTCATATATAATTGACTAGGTTATGGTAATTAAACTTAAAATACACAAGAACAAGCTAGCTAGGTATAAAAAGAAATATCAATTAGGTAGTACCACTTTCTTAAGATATTTAACAATGGAGAGCCCTTGTTCTTTAAGCACGGTAAACGCAATATCATTTATTGAATTGTGCAAAGCAAGGAAACACATCTTCATGTAGTCTGGTAGTTGATCCATGTCATTTACGTCCCATCTGAAAATAAATACAAAAACAAAAAGAAACATAAATGTTGTCATATGTACGGATCGAGTGTATAATTAATTACGTGATAGGGGTGATATAATAAATAATATAAGGTCTTATACCAACCTGTCAACAACATCTGTGAACAGCTCCAATTCATCAAGTGTACCATAGACATCATAAATGTCATCAATTACTGTTATTAGGGCATTTACTTTGGTGGACATTCTTCTACAGTATCCAAATTGAGGCTCAAATACTACTCCCACTGTCCATAAGAAATTCTCCATCAACCTATCCCTTGCAAACTCCAACTTTTGTCCTAGCCCAGTGTTTCTCCACCACCTTAATAATTTTCACAAGACATAATTGATCACAAACAAGTAGGAAATAAGGAATAAGGAAGCCTTTACAAAGTCGATCAATTATATATATATATATATATATTGTCATAATGTTATTTTCCTTAAAGTCCTATGTTATACCTGGACGCATACTTCAAATCCTCTTGGTGAGTAGATTGGACAATGTTGAAGTCGAGCTTAGCAAGCTCAAGCAAACAAGGATTCATGTCTTCCATCCTCTCATACAAATCAATAAACCACCTGCTCTCCAACCTCAGCATTCGCCACTGTAATGGAAGCTCCAATGCATGACTCACTAATAATGAAATATGATCATTATTTTCATCAATGTTTTCCTTCTTAATAATATATTCCTCGAGGCACTTGGTCGCAAAATCTCTTGCTTCCTCCAAAATACTTTCACCTTCTACCATAAGGAATGAAGCTTCGTACAAAGATACTAGTCCTATGGGATCATCACTCATGCATGCCATGAATTTCCCCGTCTCATCTTTGAAAGAAGTAAAAACTTCTGTAACATTCAAAGTTATACATTAGCTATACATATATATATATATATATATATATATTGGTTCTTCATAATTTTGCATGAGATGGGACAATGCCATTGAACTACGCTTTTCTTTTCTTTTCTTTTTGATTTTATTTCCTCATTCCATCAACCTATAATATATATATATATATATATATGAAAAAAATAGAATATAAGAAAATGTATATACCTTTTTGGTAGCAAAAAACTAAAAATAAATAAAAAAACCACCTTACATTTGTCAGTATAAATTATTTATGTACCTTGAGGCACAAAGTAGCCATGCTGGCGAAGGAGTCTGAATTCTAGAGCTGTGGCATATAAACTGTTGTTGTTCGACGTTTTATGGTAGGAAGTATTTGTGTAAATTCCTTTCAATATGCTCTTCACTTCATCCTCAAAGTGGTAAGACAATCCAAGTCTCTGTAGTAAATCAATATGCTTGAGTTGAGTCAAATGGTCATGTTCCAGCTTCTTAAATATTGCCCTTATTACCTCTTCCTTTAGATTCTCGACCCGTTCGGCATATGGTTTTCCCTGCAATGTCAAATATTTCGCAATAAATATTTATGGATGTATATACTGGAAACCGAAAATAGAAGATAAAATAATATACATGAGAGCTTACGTTATATTCGCTTTCAAGTGACTGGACGTAGTCAAAGTGCCAAATAGGAGGTTGATAGTTAGCCGATCGTCGAGCTATAATACTACTTTCATGATCAGAAACTGATCTATTATCAGCCATGCATTTAAGTACTGGACAAGAGGCAATTCCTCTTCTCAATCTTATTACATTAATTGAAACTGGAACGCTAGACACAGATACTTGCGGTTTGATCTTAAAACTACTGCTGGGATCAGTAGGAAGAGAACAAAATTGATGAACAAGTGCCATGGCCATATGTTTTATGTTTTTTTGTTTTTTGTTTTTTTTTTCGGTGATGAGCAAATGAAGTGGGTAGCTGCTAATTTTATACACCTCAGAGATTAATGAAAATGTATCTCCATTATATATTCCCACGTTTTTAATTTCCATACTAGTCTTTCATTTTAAAAACCTAAATTTACTGTGTCCAGCCGTGTGGAGACCCACCGGCGGCTCAAATATTATAATTGTGTATTGCGTGTTGGAATATTTCGGGGATATTTAGTTGGATGATTCAAACCATGATTTGAATCATGATTTATGGTTCGTTACAGTATTTTCTTTCACAAAAAATACACGTAAATCGAAAATAATTTTAATCACATGATTCTAATCCATGAACTAAACATTTTATGCGGAATGATTAACATTTACTGTAGTTAGTGTCATGATTGCAAAACGATAATCGATGTCTAGTCACCCTAATTAATTTTTAATATATATATATATATATATATATATATATTACCCCACATTTCATGTTTCTCTCGTGGGTTTTAGATACCCCTTTCGTTCTTTGCAACTTTAATATTTGTATATTTGTCACTTGTACTAGATATTGGTAGATTACAATTTAGCTACAGTAATATAAGCGTTGCAATTTTTATGTGGAATGATTAACATTATTTATGCGTGTTGGGTTTTAGATACCCCACATTTCATGTATGCGTGTTGGAACATTATTTCATGTGGAATGATTAACATATACTGTAGTTAGTGTATGATTGAAAAACGATCATCGATGTCTAGTCACCCCTTCTCTCGTGGGTTTTAGATACCCCTTTCGTTCTTTGCAACTTTAATATTTTTATATTTGTCACTTGTACTAGATATTGGTAGATTACAATTTAGCTACAGTAATATGAGCGTTGAAATTTTTCAACCAACAACGTATTTTAGCTCGCTTTCTTTATTAATTAATTCCATTAGAGCATTGTAATTGGCCTTTACTTCTCCAGCGTGAATCTAATATTGTTACGTCCTTCAAATGGTTATTAATTTATCTTGTAACTAATAAACTGCATGCCAATCATTCAAATATTTTATTCGATCAGCTTAATCTGTAAAATGGCTTTATTTGCAACGCTTTGAATATAAAGATAAAGCTAAAGTTGTTGAAACGATAGATACACCATTAATTTATTATAATAATCCGCATTTTCTTGTTCAAGGAATCAGAGGGAACTCTTGAGCACAAGGTAAATTACTGTTCACATTATTTTAATTAATTTGACACTAGCTAGAAACTTATCATATTGTAAGGATACTTGTCCTTTGTGGTAGGTACCATGATTTTCTTGATGAAAGCCAAAAATTGAACAATTTGGATCATGTCAATATTTTTCATGATTTCATATTATTTATAGGGAGAAAGAGAGAAATAGGCCAAGACTTGAGATGAATTAAAATTAATAGGCCAATAGTTTACATAAATTAATAAATAGGCCAAATTATTATTTTTGTCAATAACTTGCCTGGTTATGAACAATAACTTGACAAGTTATTTATTATTTTTGTCCATAACTTGTCTAGCTATGAACCATAACTTGACAATTTTATCCATAACTTATCTGGTTATGAACCATAACTTGACAAGTTATGACATATTAATTTCTATAACTAAAAATTGGCCTATATACTTTCTTAAGTTTTTCATATTGGTCTATTCTCTACTATTTCCCTTATTTATAAATATATTGAATTAGATTTTTTTCATCAGTTATAATGAGCAGTTACTAAACCTTTTATTTTTTAATTTTATTTAATATATATTAATTTGTTACTGATTTGAGATACGAGTATTTTGCAATAAAGAGTTTAGTAACGAAGGCGAACCATTTTTTGAACAAAACCCTAAGGCTTAGGTATTCTGATATTCTAGATATTAATTGATGATATTGGATTAGGATGACAAATTCATCCCTCAACTTTAAGAAAATTATAATTTGATCCTTTCATTTTTTAAAAAATTATAATTTGATCCCTTAGTTTTTAAAAATTACATTTTGATCCAAATTAAAAAAAAAACATAAATGGTAGGTTTTGTATTTACCAAAATCACATTTGTTTTTTTAGGTTGAGATTGAAGCATTTACTTAGTAAATTCGTTATTTACCGTACTTCTAGTTGGTAAATGAAACATTTATCATATCAATTCATTATTTACCACACCTTTAGTTGATAAATGCGTCATTTATCAAATAAATTCGTTATTTACCAAATAAACTAAGTTATTGGTTTGTAAATAAAGAATCACAAGAATAGCTTGTACATGATAGATTTACCTGGTAAATGATTCATTTACCAAGGGTATAAATGCAATTTTTTTTAAACTTGGGTCAAAACGTAGTTTTTAAAATTTAAGGAGTCAAAATAAAATTTTAATAACTTAAGGGGTCAAAATACAATTTTTATGTAAATAATTCAAAGTTTTAAAAGAGAAGGAACATAAGGATAAGATTAGAACATAACATACTAAAATTTTTAAATATCTTATTTGTTTTCATTGTTGGTAATTTTAAAATATGTTATTTGTTTTATTTATTATATGTTATTTGGTAATATGTGGTGTTATTTGTTATATGTTATTTGGTAATATGTTGTGTTATTTGTTGTTTTCTTCTTTTTAATAAAGATTCTCCTTTTCCACTCTCTCTCTCGATACGAAAAAAACTGCATTATTTCGTTGGAGCACCAGCGCAGTCTCTGGGCACGTCGTCGGGCTTATGGCCCCGAAATTCGGTCTCTGCATTTGTCTCGACGTCTGCTTTCTTATGATGTTGGTTGTGCATAGAGCGGAGCATCCGTTTGGACGGATTTAACATGTCTTGGAGGTGGGTTGCTTCTCACTTGGACCGTTATTTTCAGCGTGTTCGTTGGCGGGTGGTCGCACTCCCATGGTGTGTTGATCCACATGGAGGTGAGATTCTCTAGGATGTGGTGGTTCTGTTCTTCATTGGCCGCAAACATCCCCTCCATTTTGTCGTGGTCTTCCCGCTGTCCTCCACCTCCCATGATTGTGCTTTCCTCCATTTTGTCGTGCCCCTTCTGTTCCACGGCCGATGGCTTACTGTCAGTGTTTTTGTTTCGGTAATAACAAACGAGATTACCTCTGCTCGTGTCTCCCACCCATTTGTAAACGATGTGGTGTATGATTTCCAACTAGAGTTCCCTCTATGTCGTGGCGCGAATGCCCCTTTTACATGAGGATTAATCTCGGTTGACTAGGCTAGTCCAATTGTTTTGGTGTTGTTAAATGAGTAATTGTCAAGTTCGATATTTATGTGTTGAGCGAATCTCCACCCATTTGAGTATTAGTACTTGTATTCACTCATTTGCCTCCACCCATTTGAGTATTAGGGTTGAGAAAAAAGATATTCGGGTCAGAATTGAGTCGACCTGAAATTGACACGAAAAACACATGTCAATTTCAAATTGGACCCGCCTAACCCGAACACAACACGAAACTCATAAAAAACTAAAAACTACATATATTTTTCATTTCATATTTTAAATTTTATTATGAACTTATGATATCATGATAGTTATACTCAAAATCTTATACTATTATTTACTTAATTTCAATGGATATTATTGTAATTTAATGTGTTATGAATTTTAAGTTATTTCTAATATGTAAAAAAGTAAATAAAAGTATACAATTTTCGTATCAATTTCAGATTCACAGGTCAATTTCGTGTCACGGGTTAATTTCAGATCGTATCGTGTCAACTCGTAAAGTGATCGTGTTGCGATTTTTAAAAAATTTCGTGTCACGAGTCGTGTTCAGGTTGACTGTAAATTTAAAAAAAACGATCAAAACACGACACGAACACAATACGTAACACGAATTGTCACCCCTAGTTTTGTGTAATTTGTTTCAAGGGAAATGAATTTTCGCATTTCAAAAAAAAAAAGGCCTATATGTCACAATTTTCCAATACATATTGCACATGAATCTGTCTCATGTAATATTTCAAGCAAGTACAAACCAAACGCATGACAATAACGAATCAAAAAACTAGATAAAGCATATTGTTTCCCATAGACCAACTGCCACAAGCTCGCAATAATAAAGAAAAAAAAAAACAGAGAGAAAGAAGTCTGCCACAAGCCCAAAAAACACAAGGCCACAGTCAACAGGAATAAGCTCTGTAAGCGTGATTATTGACTACCTTGTGGCTTCCGGGGGAGCGAAGGCGACCCAATTATCATCACGCATGGGCAACGAAGTGCTGCCATCAGGAATTGGCTTGTTTGCTGGATAAATGGCAATCCTTTTATAGGAGGATAAGTCAATCCTAGTGAATGACGGCTCAAAGCTCGAGTTGGCAGCCAAATTAGTTGAGCAGTTGGGAGGAGAAGGTGAAGATGAAGACGAATCTCTTCTGGACTCGCATGGAGCAGAAGGGAATACATTCGGTATAGAGCCATGTAAAATTTCAGATGAAGACGGACCATATTCACCTGTCATAATGGCAAATTTTTTTCTTTCAATCAAAAGTTTATAAAAATGTGCTGTTATAGATATTCTATGTTCCGATTCAGAGATTCTTTATACATATAATGACTATCATATCATAATTCCTTCAATTCTATATTTTCCGGTAAGAGAGTGACGATAAAAATCATATGAACCAAGTTGGACGTGCAAAAATGTTCCCGAATTTAATGCTAATAAAAACTAATAAATGAATAAGGCGAACCAATACAACGAAGGCCCTCGGCAGTGTTTTGTTTTGTTTTGTTGTTAATAGACTTGACTTAATTTATATACAAGGTATGAAATTAAATAAAATGAAGTTTGTCCTTATAAAATGTATACCACTGTGTTTGTGCGTGAATATGCACCTGGCATACTATGTGCCTGTGAAGGAACTTTATTAAATTTCGTTGTACATAAAAGACATTCACCTTTTAACTTATCCAACCCAAATTCTGATAGGACTTCTTTTAACAAGTCAAGACTTCAAGATAAAGTCATGCTTACGGTGTGAACAAATTAAAATAAAAGAAATCTGATATTTTATAAAGAGACTACAAATTGACATTTGTTTTATTCGAATGCTTTTATTTAGGACCCCAAAAAATTTTTGATAAGCCTCCAAAACGTTTTACATATGTGAGGCGCCAGAACAAGCAAGAGGTAGAAGGTTCATTTGTCCTTGGGCAGCACTCCTCACTTGGTGTGACGCAGTTCTGGTTCGCGCTTGTTTTTTGGGAATTAGTTTGGCGTCAGGCAGGAGAGGAGAGTTTCTTTAGGAAGTTTGTTAGTAATGCGACTGGTAGTATTATAAAAGGAAAAAGAATAAAGGGTCATGGGGTAGCTGGATTTTCTTCCGAGTAATAGGAGCTTTGCTCTTAGGGAGAGTTTGTAGATCTCTCGAATATCTGCTAGCTATCCTTTTCATTACAGTACTCGTTTCTTTTGGGTTGAAGTCAAACGAATCCAGCTCAATTTCACTCTTCATTACAGCGTACTTGGCTTGTTCTTCTGCTTTTCCATTCTATGCTGCTTTGGTTCTTACCAAACTGGCATCAGAGCAAGAATCCTAATGGCACCACCAAAGAAGACGGAGGAGGCTGGCGAGGGCATCCATGCAGAAATCTAGAAGGAGATGTAAGCGTTCAAGGAGGAAATGCGTAAGATACCCGCTCTGGAGAAGAATATGAATCCATAATGGAAAAGATTGGACCAATTGATGGTTCAGCAAGAGGAACTGCAGAAGGAGAAAAAGGGACAACTCGACCGTTGGTGAGTCGAGCGGAGCCGCCATCGATCCAGTCAACGGTAATGCAAGACGTTCGCGATCAGGGTAGTGCTGTCTGTGATGGTGAGGCGAGGTCAGAGTATCGGGTGTGGAGGTTGGAAATGCATATGTTCGACGGAACAAACCCAGATGGCTTTTCAAGGCTGAACATTACTTCTCCACGAATAAGATGGTGGATTCGGTGGTGAGTTTTGATGGCGAGCCCCTCGCATGGTTCCAGTGGAGGGATGGATGATGCTAGATCTGGAGTTGGCCGGAGTTGAAATTGCTCATTCTGGATCGGTTCCGACCAACGAAGGAGGTCATTGTGTGCAAGAAGTTCCTGAGAGCGTTCGGGAATACCGGCGCCAGTTTGAAGTCCTAGTGGTGCCGCTGACGGATATGCCGCAACACATTCTCGAAGGAAACTTCGTGAATGGACTGTGGCCGGACATTCGGGCCGAGGTTTGTATTATGCAACCTAATGGGCTGGGCCGGATTATGGAGGCACAATAAAAGTGGGACGACATCGTTTTGCGGGTGCAGCCTTAACCCTAATCATACATCCACTCTCGCTTCGAAGAGCACTCCAAACCAACTGAGTCGTGCGTCAGTGGTGGCAAAAAAACCACCAATTCTGAGAGGTGAGCCTCCATTTCAACGCCTTACTAATTCGGAATTGCAATCAAAGCGCGAGAAGGGGCTGCTTTCGTTGTGATGAGAAGTATACAATAGGCCATTAGTGTAGAAGGGAGTTGCAGGTGTTTGATTATAAGTGATGATGGGGAACCAGCAGGCGTGGAGGAGAAGGACAAGGCGCCACTAAAGTTCGGAGAGGTGGTGGAATTATCCCTTAACTTAGTCGTGGGTTTGACCACATCCAAAACCATGAAGTTGACTTCATGGGGCAAATAGGTCAGCAAGAGTTGGTAGTGTGAATCGATTGCAGCACAACCCATAATTTCATTTCCAGTGAGTTGGCTAGGAAATTGTAATTGCCCTTGGCGACCACGGATGGGTATGGAGAGTTAATGGGAATAGGGTTCTCGGTGAGATGGGAGGGCATGTGTAAGGCAGTGGTCCTTTCGTTGCAGGAAGTGGAGATAGTCGGGGATTTCCTTCCTCTGGATTTAGCGAGCTCAGATGTCATATTGGGAATCCAGTGGTTGAGTTCTCTAGGCGGCATGCATGTCAATGGCAAAAGCTCACCATGAGGTTTAAATTAGGAGGTGCTTAAGTTACCTTGCAAGGGGATCTGGCCTTAGCAAATCTTGGTGTTTGTCAAGGCAATGATGAAGGCACTCAAGCCGAAGGGAGAAGGGTTAGTGCCACAACTTGGGATTTAGTGGCCGAGTTGGTTACCGAAGGTAGCACGGTTCCCGCTGCCTTGCAAGCCATTTTGCAGCAATTTGATTCGGTGTTTCACGTGCTGGAACGGTTGCCTCTGAACAGGAGCCGTGACCATGCCATTAACCTTAAGCTGGGCACCCCACCAATTAGTGCACGGCCGTACCGCTACCCACAGGTGCAAAAAGACGAGATCGAACGATTGGTTGGTGAGATGTTGACCGCTGGCATAATCCAACCAAGTACTAGCCCGTTTTCAAGTCCTATTCTCCTTGTCAAGAAGAAGGATGGGAGTTGGAGGTTTTGTGTGGACTATTGCGCTCTTAACCGACTGATCAGAAAAGTCTGAAGTTTTTATTGGAGCAGAGGTTGGTGACCATGGAACATTAGCGGTGGCTATCCAAGTTGTTGGGATTTGACTTTGAGATACAATATCGACCAGGGAGGGAGAATAAAGTGGCCAGATGCACTCTCCCGCTTGCCAAGAGAGCCATCCTTAGCACTTCTAGCCGTCCCACAAGTGTTGGACTTGGGAGAAATTCAGCGTGAGATTGAGCATGACAAGTGGGAACGGATTAAGCTAGCTCTCCAACAGGCTGAGGCTACACCACCTGGTTTTGCCTTGTCGCATGAACGTTTGATGTATATGGGAAGACCTCAGCATGGACTTCATTGAGGGCTTGCCGAAATCGAACGGATTCAACTCCATTTTTGGTTGTGGTCGATCGTCTAAACAAGTATGCTCATTTCCTCGGTCTTCGGCACCCTTTCACATCCCAAATGGTAGTTGGTGTTTTCATGAAGTTGTGCACCTCCATGGCAGACTGATTGGAACCCAGCAATTTCTTAAGAATTAAAGCTTTATTGAATGAAATTAAATTGAAGAAAACACTGATATAGCAGCATTCGCGAGGCTGCAACTCTCCCAAATCTTAGTTTCCCAAGCCCTAAAACAATTCTCCAAAACTCTCAAAAATCATACATCCCCCTCATAAGCTCCTAACCCCCTTTATTTACACTAATTCCTACTAACTCTAAGCCCACTAACCAAACTAGTTCCCAAGTCATTAACGGATCCTAACACATACCCTGCTCTATCGTCATTGGTCGTGACAAAGTCTTTCTGAGCATTTTCTGAACTGAGTTGTTTCATTTGCAGAGCACCTTTTTAAAGCGTAGTACGGCGTACCACCCGCAGACGGATGGCCAAACAGAGGTAGTCAACCATTGCATCGAGACATACCTTCACTGTTTCAGTTATGATGAATCGGAGCAATGGGCGAAGTGGCTACCGTGGTCGAAATACTGGTACAATACCTCCTTCCACACGGTTGCACAAACCACTTTTCGCATTGTGTACGGACGCGATCCACCCACTCTCATCCGCTTTGGTGCCAGTACCACTATCGTGGGTTCTGTTAGCAGCAATTGGCAATGCGCGACGGTGTGCTGGATGAGTTGAAGCAACACTTGCTTCGCGCACAGCAAAGGATGAAAGCTATAGTTGATGGGAAAAGAAGCAAGCTTAGCTTTGAGGTGGGCGACCTTATCTATCTTAAGCTAGCTCCACGATTGTTTGGCCCATATGAAGTTGTGGAACGGATTAGACCTGTGGCTTAGCAATTGGATTTGCCCATCTCTTCCTCCATCCAGTTTTTCATGTGTCCCAACTGCGCCGTGCTATTGGTGCTACTCAGGCATCTTAGTTGATTCCTCCACAACTAACCACTGAGTTGGAAATGGTGGTCACCCTGGCCACCATCTTGGGGGTCCGACCACCTTCCACTAATCCAGTAGCTGGCCCTTAGGTTTCAATCCAATGGTAGGGCCTACCAACTAGTGACGCCACCTGGGAACTATTTTCTACCATTCAGCGACAGTTTCCCAATTTTCACCTTGCGGACAGGGTGAAACTGTGGGCAACGGGTATTGACAAGCCTCCAATACGTTTTAAGTATGTGAGGCGCCAAAAGAAGCAAGGGGTAGAAGGGTAATTGTCCTTGTGCAAAACTTGTTACTTGGCGTGAGGCGGTTTTTTCGGTTCGCACTTTGTTTTTTGGGAATCAGTTTGGCGTAAGGCAGGAGAGGAGAGTTTCTTAGGGAAGTTTGTTAGTAATGCGCCTGGTAGTAGTATAAAAGGAAAAAGAATAAAGGGTCACAGGTAGATGGATTTTCTTCTGAGTAATCGGAGCTTTGCTCTTAGGGAGAGTTTGCAGATCTCTCAAATATCTGCTAGTTATCCTTTTCATTATTGTACTCGTTTCTTTTGGGTTGAAGTCAATATAATCCAGCTCAATTTCACTCTTCATTACAGCGTACTTGGCTTGTTCTTCTACTTTTCCATTCTAGTCCGCTTTGGTTCTTATCAATTTTCCATTGGAAAAATACATGTAATTCTTCTTGGTTAAGGAAAGTTTGATAGCCTCATACAAACTCAGATCAGGACAAAGAGATAGGAAAGTTAAAAATTGTTAGCCCTAGATGACTGTAAAGTGTCTTGCTTTATGATTAACATGTAAAGAGTAAAGTTTCTAATTAAATGTACATTGGAGTGGGGTATGAAGGGCGAGTTGCTAAGTGGATGCTACCCTAGTTCAGACGTTCAAAGGAAAAGCATAATTACCTATCACATCAAGGCAATGATAGAGTAGTATAAAAACAGCTCTTAATTCTCACCTGTGCGATCCTTAGCTTGCTGCACAGGTGCAGTGGGTTTAATATGTTGCAGCAAATTAGCAGCAGTATTTGATTGTGCAGGAGAAGATAAAAACTTAGAAGCTTCTTGTCCTTGAAATGAGGAGGGCATAACGAGAGGAATCTGACTTGATCTACCTGAGCAAGACAACATAATAATCAGCCTTTGTCTATAAAAATTGGTATGTAAGAGCTTAATACTTTAGGTCAGAGGTGAATGTGGAATTTTCTACAGATATAACATGGTTCATAAAAAAAAAACAAAAACAAAAAACAAAAAAAAAAACTCAAAAAAAAAAAAAAAAAGACAATCTGCGTGAGGAATGACAAGTCTAGAAAGCTGTACACACTTACGCTCTTTCAAAGCATTGTACGCAACCTTTGCTGCATTCATCTCAGCCTGTTTCTTGGTTTTTGCTTCTTCTCCAATGAAATGCTCTCCTTCTATCTCCACACTTGAAACAAAAACTGGAGAATGAGCTTCACCAGATCGGTTAGGGTAATAAGCCGGTAACTGCAAACCTTCTTTCTGAACCAGTTGATGCAAAAGATTCTTGTAGAAAGCAGAATCATCCTACAGAATTGGTTCTTATATGAAACATATGCTTTCATTCATTAAATAAGAATTTAAAGAAAAGGACGACAGGCAGTTAACCCGAGAAATAATGAAGTTTACAACAAACTAAACTAAGAAGGAATGAAGTTTACACCAAAGTAAACTAAGGTTTATACATCCATGAGCACACATATATGGCCACTGGTAATGGGAATCTAACCTTTTGAACACAATCAGGAGATAACGAAATCAAAGCAACTTTTGCAGCCGCATGTTCAGCCTCCTTCAACGTGTGAAAATATTCCGAACTCTCATATGTCTTTCCCTCAATTGTTACCCTACATTTGAAGCGACTTGCATGTGGAGGACCTTCCCGCTCACAAGAGTACACAGGAAAACCAAGATTTCGTTTTTGAGCATAGACTTGCAGTTCACTCTTGTACAAGTGTTGGATATCTATTCACAAGAAAACAAATTATAGATCGTACGGTTCATTAGTAGATAAGTAGTTCGTCCAACTAGGAACATACAAGAGCACAATTTTATATATGTCCACGCATATATAAGAAATAGAGAAGATTTATAAATAACTAAACAGGTGCAGCCAATGACGACAAGTGCCTACCCAAACCATTACAAAAACAACCCTCGTTCCCTCAACAAATCTGAAAAGGAAAGACCAGCAAAATTCTTTAGTTCCAAAAACGCATAAAGCCACCCAATAGCAATCTTGGCTGCCTTCCACATGACATGAGCCTTCTTACCTTTTCCAAAACCAAATTCCTTTTCCTCCAAGAATTCATTACAGCAGGCAAAACCAAACTTAGGTCAGTCACCCTAGAAAGAATACTCCAAAGAAAAAGCCATATCACAATGTAAAAACAAGTAATCAACCAATTTATTACTCCTTTTGCACGACACACCAATCTAGGGGATCGGAATATAGAGATTGCCGGAGCCTATCAATTCCATATCAAAATATATATTATATAATATTTGGTCTCATGCACATAAGCCAATTGTCAACGTTACAACAACGAATATCTTAGATATATATATATATATATATATGTATCTATATACACACACATATACATAAACATGAGCAACTAAAGCAGCTGATTAGGTCCACCACCAAGCTATACTTTTGGAGTATCCTCTAGATCAATAGCTTTAGTGGGGACTATATCACGTTGGACATCTACCTCATTAGCCATTTCTTCCTCGATGTTTGTATAAAAAGTCGAGGTTGAGATCATGGAGTTTGCTCTTGATTTTAGCAACGCATGCCCCTGCCCCACTTTCATAAAGCTTGTCTTTGAGGACCTCATATTCCTCATAACTCTTAAACACTTCTAATGCCCCAACTCAGGCCTCCTCAACACGGAATGGAAGCTCCGCCATTAGGTAAGCAACCTTTTTCTTCTCGATCTCAAGCTCAAGGGCTAGAGTTTGGTTGATTTTCTTCGCATAGTTGATCTCGATGTCAAGTTGATTCTTTCCTTGACCTATACTCCTCTATGGTCTCCTTCTTCGACCTCGAGATTTGCCTTTAGCTTCTTGATCACACTAGAGGAGCATTGGTGTTGATCATACATGCTAGCAATCTCCTCGTAGTTAGCAATAGACGAGATGAGATCCTGAGAAAGAGAAGATCTAATCCATTAGAGAAATGTACGAGTTCTAAAGGAGTGCTTGCAACAGCTAAAGATTAATCTCCTACCCGTAGCTGGTAGTCAATGACTTGAGTCCTTGTCAAAATAATTTTTGTAAATGCACTCAAACACACATTTAAAGTGTGGAGGCATCTGGGAGAGAAAGTCGCATTCTTCCTTGGTCGCGTCAATGTCCACAAGCTCAGCACTCCTAACCTTGGAACAGGATCGATGGATTCTCCAGCCCGGCATAGAGCTGGTAGCAAACTGCTCGACAATTTGACCATCAAAGTTACAGGGGAGTCTTCTTCGTCCCTGAAGATCCAGTCTTTGCTTTCTTCAAATCCCTCTCCTTCAGATCCCGAGGCCTCTTGATATTCATCTTTGGGATCATGTCTACACAAAAGAGAGAAATGTTAGCTCGACAAGAGGACACTACAAAATTTTGGTTAAATTACAAGACAAAGAAGGTGGACCTTTACGATCCATATGATGGGCCACTAAGTCAACCATGTTCAAATGTTGTTGAGACTGATGGGGTTGTCCGTGCTCCTCCTTGACCATAATCATTGGGGTCGCGATCGCCTTATGCCCTACCCATAGTAGATTCTCTGAGCTAGCAAGCCTATTGAATGTCCTATCACTCTCAGGCACAAGGAGGGCAATCTCAATGTTATGCTTCTTCTGGTTAGTGAGCTCAAGCCAGACATGGTGTTGGACTACAAACAAGAAATTCAAGAAGTTAAGAAGGCAATAAGAGATAATCTGACTAAGCCACTTGTATGCCCGTTCAAAGCTTGTACATGGGTTCTCAACCTGTAAAAGTGTCTTGCATAGGGCCCTTCTATGAAGACAACCTCTCCTTCCGATCACGGGAAGATATAAGATTATTTATAACTAGCTTCTTCCCAAACCTCAAATTATATAAGGTTATTTATAACTAGCTTCTTCCCAAACCTCAAATTATATAAGGTTATTTATAACTAGCTTCTTCCCAAACCTCAAATTATATAAGGTTATTTATAACTAGCTTCTTCCCAAACCTCAAATTATATAAGGTTATTTATAACTAGCTTCTTCCCAAACCTCAAATTAGTTAAGTAGTAGTAAAAAGCATAAGAGACCGAGTTCAAGGTGTAGAAAAGGAGAAACTCATCTACATCAAGCTCAATTTACACATGAATCTTCAATAAGATATGTCTTCACCACTCTCCTACAATTGCAGCTGAGCATGCCTTAGATATTTAATAAACATTTAAAGTCGGTGTTAAGGAAGCGAGGAGGTAGAGACCACACTTCTGGTGTACACAATGATGCACCCTTCAATTGGAGTTTGCTAGCTATGTCGGATGAGAAATAATGGTTTTGTTCCACCACACCTTAAGGATGTTTGTGTATTAAACTTAGAAAATATATGGATGCTTTAGACAGCTCTACCCCTATTAGGTCGTCCCCATATGTGACCAGCCTCCCTATGTGCTTATCACGATTGCGGACTAAAGCTTCAATATTATCTTTGCTCCTTTCAAAAGGAACACCTTTGAGGATGTCATCATCCATATCCTCACCGTTTGTTACCCCCTTGGCACTCATCCACCACCCTAAATAGTGGGTATGTCTCGGGTCGACCTATTTCTCCACTTAAAAATGCCTTGGTTACCTCATGTGCTTGCATCAACACAAGTTCAGCCTACATGAGCAATGATAACTCTCCAACGAGCTAACACCAATAACTCAGGGACGGGATCTATCAACACAGCAATGACAACTCTTTGTGACAAGCTAACCCTGTCAACTCAGGGACGAGATCTACTAAAATCTTCCAACTACTGACTTTTCCCGGAGACATTTTAATCTAAATAAGAAAATAAGATTTTTGAAGTCCTAGATGCTACAAGTCCCTTACCTTGAACGATTTCCATCCTACAAAGCTCAAAGGAGGTGTTTTCCAATGAAAAGCCTTAAAAGAGACTATCGATAGAGTCAATTCCAAGTTCCTTTGAAGAACTTAAGGGTCTATTTGGTATCAGGGTTCAAACCATGGTGGTTTGAACTTTTGGGTTTTGAATTGTGGAGTTTGAACTAAGGGTTCAACCCATGAATTTTGGGTTCGAACCATGTGAGGATTGAACCTGGGGTTCAAACCGGCCAAAACCAAGGGGAGGGGTGGATTTATTTTTTGGCGTTCAGTATAGTTAAACATCACATCAGGGTTCAATCATTGAATCTTTTCTTTTTAAACCAAACACTAGTTTTGTTGGAGTGGGTTCAAACCACTTTTTATTTTTTGCAAACAAACACTGGTTTGAACCTTAATTACAGTTCAAACCTTGAGAATCCTCAAACCAAACATACCCTAAATATTCATTTGGAAAGGAGCACAAGACAACACAGATTCCTTACACAAATGTAAATCTACTACGGTAACTTTTACTCCTAAATTGATGTTGGACCTGCACACATTTAAGTAGTGGACCCCCTTTTGGAACACAACTTTTAATTGTTGTATTTATTAAAACAAAGATTACATCTAACAGTTGTGGGCGAGAATCGAGATAAACCTTCAAGGGTCGAGATCTACATAGGAAATAAAAAATTAAA